CCCCCTGCTCCCCGCATGCCCCCGTCCCCCCACCCGCCTTGGCCGCATCCAGCGCCCGGCCCCGTGTCTGGGGGTCCCCTGGGGAGGGGGTGGGGGGCACAGCCTTCTGCAGTCGTGGCATCGGTGCTGGCCACGAAATCTCAAAGCACAGTGTCCCCTGTTCCCCCCCGGGTGGTGGCCTAGGGGCCACTCAAAGCCCTGGGCTTGTTTTTGGGGGGCAGCTCGCAGGTGAGGGGTGCTCTGCTCCAACCGCGTCTGTGCAACCGTCCCCTGCTCTGCAGGGACAGGTGTCCTGTCCCCTGGGGGTCTGGCAGTGACACCCGTGTCCTGTGCTTTGAGATCTCTGAGGGAGCTTCAGGGGGACAGAAGTCGCTGCCATCACCATGGAGGGGCTGCCTCTCCCCACCCCTCACCTCAATAACCTCATCCACCAGCCCCTCTCCTGGGGGTCACAGCTCTTCTCCTCTCTGGTGCCTGTGTCTGGAGTGGCCATGCCTGGTGTCCCCAAAGTATCCCCAGGGTGTCCCCACCCCCGCAGGGCCGGGCTGCCAGGGCCAGGCTGGGAGGGAGAAGCGTCTGCGGGGGCTGTTCGGGGGGTCTCAGCTGCCGCCTCTCCCTCCAGGCTCCCGCTCTACGACGCCGCCTGCCAGGCCGCCCAGGAGGTCGCCGAGAGGATCCAGGAGCGGAACCGGTGCCAGCGGAACGGGGAGAGCTCAGCCAAGGTACTCCCTGCCGGCAGCTTGGACCTGGATGTTTTTAGCTACATTTTGCATTTAACAGTTTTAAATACTGGCTGAGGACTAAATCTGCAGGAGTCAGATGTGTCTGGGGAACTGCAGGTCCCGACTTTCCTGCCTGTCCTGCTGCAGAGGGAGCAGGTGCTGCCTGGGAGGGGCCGCCCCACCGGGGCAGCTGCCGAGGGGAGGTCACAGTTGTGAGTATTAATGCTGCATTCTCTAGGATTCCTGCAAAGAAAGCAAGAATACAGTTTCTAAATGACTGGTGGCTTTTCAGTGGCATGAGAGTAATCTTGGGTTTGACAGTAATTAGTATTTTTTGCATGTGGTAATGCTGGTTTTATAAAAAGAGAAAAGGAGAAGCTGTGGGAGTGCTGGGCACAGGCTGCTGCTGCCGGGAGCAGAGCTGTTTTCTGGGATCCTGACCCTCAGAGGTACTGATGTGCCTGTCAGCTTCTGTGCACCCCTTGCTATGTAAATATTGAACAGATATTTTCTTCCCCACAAAGTTGGCTTCCTTTTTTTCTGTAGTGCCTATAGATGATCAGATAAAATAATAATTTTGTGGCCTGGTTTAACTATTTCTAACAAAATACAAGACCAGAGTTAAATATAAATGAAAAGCAGAAATTAGAACTTACCCAGGAATGGTGGGTTCTCTACCTTTTCATACTTTCCTTTTAAATAGTAAAAGAAAAAGGTTCTCTGGGGGCTGCTTTCTTTAAGACTAAAAGTCTCATCCTTCCCTTCAGGCAGTGCTGGATCACACACCCCTGGGATCTTGCCATGAACCTCTCCCTTGGCTGCATTAAAATGAAAACATGAGCGAGCCCTTCAGTTAGTTTTTAAAAATAATGTGCATAATTATATAAAAAAACCCAACACTGGGTGGTTTATTTTGTAGGCTCAGCCCTTCCCTGCAGCAGGTTTGCAATGTGATGTGTGATCATAGAATCTGCTTTGCCAGTCTCTTTGCCAACAGGTTTTTAAAATAAAATGCTTTTTAAAAAAGTTTCCTTTGAAGAAATGCTGAAGAAAATAGTGTGGATGTTGTACAGTGGTAAGTGGGTTTTAACCAAGGACTCAAGTTTGGCATGAATTGAAAAGTGCTTTTAAAAGGCCCAAGTAAGTAGGACTGGAGAAAATATTTTGTGTAGAATTGAGAGGGATGTGTAGAGGAGGTGATTAAACCCCCTGCTTACAAAATGATGAAGGATTAGAAATTGTACAGATAACAGACATAACCAAGAGAAAAGTAATAAAATGATTGCTGCTTAATCCATCTGTATTTATAGAGGCCAAAGTTCTCTGTTTGCATCATTGCAGCCTGTGGTGTGTTCCAAAAAACCCCAACAACCCCGTTGTATCCGTGATGTTTGAAGCCTCTCGTGGACTGTGACTCCTCGCTTCTGTTTTATGGAAACATTACATGGTTGACTTATTTCTTCATAAAATCATTTGTTCCATGCCTGATGTTTTCCAAGCACAGTTTCCCTTTAATCCATTAACAGTTAAAGATGAATATTTGGCAGTGTTTGATTCTACTATAAACAAGTTTCCATCAATGAGAGGGTTGTTTTCATAACAGAAGTGCACGTTGAGAAATCCACGGCTAAGCAGTCAGATATTCTATGGCTTCTGAGTGTTTTAATAGAGAAGTCTTTGTATGGTATTTGCCTGGTAGGGAGAATGTAAACAAGTTTTTCTTTTTATAGATATTAGCATGGCTAAAAAAACCTTATTGCTGAGCAAAAATAGAGCATACAATTTAAAATGGAAAAAAACAAAACCTGTAGCCAGCACTTACTGTCAGTGAACTCTGCTCTATGGAGCTGATCTTCAAATTTGCATTGGTTTATTTTTTCTTTGATGGAAGTGAAATCTTTCATCCTAGCTCTGCAGTTTTCAGCCACAGTAGCAGAGCGTGTCTGTGTGTGCAGTGACTTTCCTAGCTGTGTGTATCTCAGTGTTCTGGGCTGATTAAATGCAGCATTCTCCACTTGGGCATGAGTGTGGGAAATGCAGGTGTGAAGTGGAAAGACCTTTTATTACCTGATTGCAGAGATAGAGGGGATGCAAGGGCTTGATCTTTCCTAAAGCATTAATGCCCTCTCCTGGCTTTGGGAACATTCCCTAGCAGCTTTGCGTCTGCAGGTGGATTTTGCTGTTCTCAAGGCTGCCTCAGTGTGGCTGCCTCTGCTTTCTGTCCTTGTGTTGTGTAGTGTTTGAGAACAACTCTCACTGAGTCAGAGAGATTTAAACTTCTGCTGCTCTCGGGTGATTTTTTGGGAGCTCCTGCTCAGTTCCTGTGCAGTTGGGTGCAGTTTAGCTCCGGTGCAGCACAGAAAATGTCCAGTGGGATGTCAGGGACTGGCTGCTGCCTCTGGGCCTGCAAGAATGCAGGACTGAGTCAAGGCAAATACTACATCTCTGTTAGTAATTCAGCACAAAGAGCATCTGAGGCTGCTGGCCATTATAACCCAGTATGTTGTTAACAAAAAGCACATAAAGTTTTAATTAGTATGACTTGCATCGTTAATTACATTTACAAGGGTTTTTTTTCCTAGTATGTTTCACATAAATTGAAAGAATCACAGAATCCTCAGGGTGGGAAAAAAAATAAATAACATTGAAGAAGGAAAAACCTCAGGGATAATGCTGGCCTGACTTGGGAAGGTTGAGAAGAGAGGAGGAGGATTCTCACAAACCTGGGCCTTGCTGGCCCTGAGGGACTTCCCTGTGTTTTGAGTAGGAGCAGACGTGGCTTCGTCGAGGGCAGGTCAGTTGTGGGAAAGCGTTGGGAGTCACAGGTGCTGCTGAGAGGGGGAATGGAGGGAATCCTGAATATTTTTTTTTTGGAACTTTGCTCTGGAGAAGTTTGGCAGGGGGTATGTCTGAACCTGTAGCAGTCTTCCCTCTCATCCTGGGAGATGGGAAAGAAACCTGGTGACAGAAGCAGCTGGTGCCTGTGTTTGTAGTAAAGATCAGAGGAAAGGACTGGACAAGTAACTGGAAAATACTGAAATGTGCTGAAGTGTTTTGCCCATATAAAGGAGTTTGTTTACAAAGACTTGAAAGAAAACTCTCCATATTAAACAGTATTAATGAGTTAGAATTGTGTTTGCAAAACTAGTTCTATTTATCTCTTTATTTTGTAACCAGTCAAGCCAATTAACTGCATCATTCCCTTTGTGGCTCTGCAGCAGACTTGCTTGGCTTAGAACAGAGTCCTTCATACCAGTGTAGCTGAAGTTAAATATATTGTCACCTGCATATAGTAATATTAAATTCCAGGCAAATATGACTCAGAAAAAAAATGCTCTCTCTTCCCCCTCAGCTCAACGTGGTTATCAGAGCATTGCTGCAGAACCTGCGGGAGAAGATTGATCAGCTGAAGGACTCGCTGCTTCGGGCTGTGTCAACACACCAAATGTATCTGTGTAAACACCAGCTCACTGACCTTTCTGTACTGTGGCAGAAAATGGAAAAAATGCGCTGTAATTGCTGTGCCACCCAGTTGGGGTTTTCCTCTCATTCCTTTTTGGTTATATTTGTATTGGAGAGAAGCTCAACTTGATGTTCTGAACAATCTCAGAGCTGTCTGTGCCGGGTGGTGAGCTGAGATCACTGCTCTATCAGGGAATTGCTCATCTGTGATTTTCTCTTTCCACAGTCGCTGGCATCAGGAATGCCAGTGTTTGCAAAGAGGAAGGATGAAACCTTGTTCAGGGAAGTGGCAGCCCTGACTTGGGCTGACTTAGGAAGCAATGAAACTACATCTCCAGAATGATGTCATAATGCTTTAAAATGAGAGAGAAAACACAGATTTTCTTCTCTCAGTGTTACCCTGTGGGCTGGTTTCGATTTGCTGCTCTTTCTGTATGCTGGGATAGTCTTAAGGACTCAAAGAATATGTCCATCTCCCTGAAGATGTCCAGCAGCAGTCTGGTTCCATGAATGAATGTTTAATTTCAAGCTTACTACAGCAGAAATCCCTTCTAAGCATGGGCCTCCTGGGAGCTGTGCTGATGACCAGGGTTAAAACCTTCCTGTCCAGGGAGTGGTTGAGAGCAGACAAATGCTGCTGCTGTGGCAGAAAACATGCACATTTGTTCAGCTATTGCATAATCTACTGAACAGTAATTGCAGAGGAGTTAGCAGTCCTTCAGAACATCATTAAGATTAATTTAAAAAAGCAAACACGTCCCCTCCTGAAGCCGCAGCACTTCGAGGCATCTGGTCTTTCAGAGATAGATGAATTGTTTTTCTGCTGCATCAGTGGCTGTGGGGCCTTCTCCTGATGAATTGCAAATGGAAACATGCTCAAAGTAAATTTTTGGTTGTTTGCTACTGACCTGGTGTGTGTTGTGAGCCTGCAGTGAAACAAGATGTGAAGTACCCTGCTGATTTCAAAAAACTCTGTTCTGTGTGGGCTTGTCCTGTTTCTGTTCCTTCCCAGTGTAAGTTGGAGCTCTTTTAAGAAGAGTCATAATTCCCTGAGCTTAACTCGTGCAACACTGTTGTACATTGTCAGTGTTAGAGAAGAGATGAACTCTGTAGGATTTCTGGGGAATAAATGAAAGAAGTGTTTAGTGGGATTTTGGAGGGAGAAATACTGTTCTTAATACTTATGCTAATTTGGGAGCAAATAGCTTTTCAGTTCTCTGGTCACTATATGAAATTTTTCTTTGAAATATGTAAACTTTAGAAGCACATTTAGAATAACAGCAGATTTCACTCAGAAAAATGTGATCTTTCCTTCCTTTTTCTTGAGTTAAAATAGTTACTCTAGTTAATTTTGATTATCAGAAGGTCTAATTTACTTTAAGAATTTGTAACAGGTATTATTTTATATACTAAAAGTAAATTTCTTCAGTGTTTTTAAGTTTGGTCCTTAACCAAGTGCCCATCAGCACGCAGCTGGAGGGAGACAGGAGGCAGAATTTGGTGGATGACCTTCTCACGCGACAGAAACAACTGCAGGCATCTTACAAGAATGAAGGCCCAGAACCAGATGTGATAAGGTATGGCATTGTCACCTCAAATGAGGAATGTGATTTGTGCTTTGAGTGCATTTGAAGACAGTGAGTGTGTCCATTAAGCTCACCTGTGTGTGGAGCCAACTGTGGTTTCATTTGCTTAGAAATCATGTGGGGTTTTTAGTGACATTATCTATGTGTCTACAAAGCTGGGCAGGAGGAGGGAGAGTTGCTTGGAAGAGGTATTGACAAAATGATCTCGTGGAGTCAGGGACTGATTTGGACTGATGGGTGCCACTGCATGATGTTTATGGAATTGTTGGAAGGAAAACTCTTGGGATGAGGCTTAAGCTTATAACACTCCCCTGTGATCATACTGTGCAGCAGTCAGCAAGAGCTTTCACATGAAATACATTTTAATTTCCACGTTGGTGTGTCCTTTGCATCTGGGAAAAATAATTATGGGTAATAGCCTTCAAGTTGTGCTCTCCTTGCTGTATACTTCTTCTAGACCCCCCTTCTAGCGGAAGGAGTTTATTTGTCATGTCTTGCATGTTCTTAGAAAGAAACCATCCTTGGTGGTCTCTGTGTGATCAGGAAGACAGGCAGAGCCTTGTCTTGAAGTGTGAAATTCAGGCCTCTTACCTGACTTGGTAAATTATCAGCAGTGTTAAAAGTTGGGTTTGATAGGAGCCAGGTCCTGTGTCCATGATGTACAAACCATGTCAGACATAGACTTGGTGTACAATGTTGCAGCCCAGCAGATGTGCAGTGAAATAAGGAAGAATGTTGTTTCTAGTGCTTTGGCCTGGTGAATTTTGTCCATTTGCAGTTAGATCAGCATCGGCTTTTGCCTAAGGAATTCCACTCAGGAGTATTTGCTCCCCTTAGCTGTTCCTGAGAGTTGCTGGTAGCTTCAGTTTCTGCAGGAGCATGCATGTGTCTTGCTGAGATGCTCCTTGCAGCTACTTCCAGGAGTTTTTACATCTCTCTGAAATACCAAGTTAAAAATCCTGGCTGAGCTGCAGAATTGAGAAATTCCTGTGAGTTTGTTACACTTTCTTTCCTTTCTTAATTCAAATATTGTAGGCCTCCCTTGTTCCTTCCCTTTTTCCCCCTGTGTTTCCAGTGACATCCCCCCTGGTTGAATGTCCTGGCTTCAGCCTGGAGCTCCACACGTGACACAGATCATCTTCATGGCTCTGCTAATGAAGCTCTGTCTCATCTGCCTCTATCTGTTTTGTAAAAGCTGATTTTTCTTTGAGACTCTTTTTTCTTTCCATGTGTTTAAATTGCCCAATGAATTAATTACTGGAGGAGAGAGAGGAGAACAGGGTTAGCAGTAAATAAGCCTGTTCCTAAGCTGATAGCCAGGCTACAGGCAAGACAATGAAGCTGCCATTTCCTCTTCCTTCTTCAAGCACATGGTAGTATCTCTCTCCTTAGCACAGGATTAGGGCCGTGGAACATCACAACTGAAGTGGCATGTGTTGAGGGACAGCTTCAGAAGCATCCTTATGATTCACTGAGGAACAGGCTTTGATCTCCACAAGCCCTGAGCCAATATCCATGCCAAAAAGGAAAAGCTCTGCTATCAAATAGTCTGATTTGCCTGTCTGCTAACCCTGTATAGGTCATTAGACACTTCAGTTACCATTTTGGCTAAATTCCAGTGCAGAAAATTAGGAAGAGCAAATTCAATTATTCCTTTGCAGATTCAGGTAATCTTCTGTCCTTCAAAATGATGCAGAAGAGAAGCAGAGCTGCAGTCTGAGTTTGCAGAGCTCGAGTATCTGTGGGCACTGAAATTACACTGGAGTGTACACTGTAATTGTGAAAACTTTGATTTAAATCCTAGTATTTTTTTAAAAAGTGAGCATATTTACTCAGAAGCTTTGTATGAATCTATAGAATAGAATACTTTTGGTTGGAAAAGACCTTTAAGATCATTGAGTCCAACTTTTCCTTCACTCCAGCTCTTTACTCTTCCACTTTTCCCTCCCGCTCTTCATTTTGCACCTCATTCTTTCTTACCACCACCCTCCCCATTCACCTCCCCCATTTTCTCCCTGCGTGCTCACTATACCCCTTTCCCTCTGATCTTCATCACATCCCAGACTTGTTTGGGTTGGAAGGGACCTAAAGACCACCCAGTCCCACTCTTGGCTGTGGACCCAGACATCTTCCACCAGACCACGTTGCACCAAGCCCCCTCCAGCCTGGCCTTGAACACTTCCAGCATGCACAGCTTCTCCAGGAAACCTCTTCCAGGGTCTCACAACTCTTAATTTTTTTTCCTGTATCTCATCTCAATATCCCCTATTCTGGCCTAAAACATTCCCCCGTGTCCTGTCGCTCCCTGGCCTCGTCAAAAGTCCCTCCTCAGCTTTCCTGAAGCCCCTTCAGGTACTGGAGGTACCTGCTGGAGGTATCTAAAGGTACTTTGGGTACTGGAAGGTGCTCTAAGGTCTCCCTGGAGCCTTCTCCAGGCTCAACACCCCAACTCCCTCAGACTGTCTCTAGAGCAGAGCTGCATTCCTCCTTTCAGTTTCCTTCCTCATCCTGTTTTCTTTTTGCTCCATTGGGAATCACAGCTGCTGGGACCGGGCACCTATTTCGCTGAGGTGTGGGAAGCTTTAATGCAGCAGTTGAAATTCTTAGGCTGGTGGTGGGTCACGCAAGGGGCTGTGCTGTGCCCTGGAAGCCCAGCACGATGTGTGCTCTGGGTGACAGGCCATGGCTGAGCAGAGCTTCCTCACCTCTGCTGAGTCATGGTGTGGTGAGATCTGCCTCTGAAGAAGGCAGATGTGCTTCTGCAATGTGGATGTCAGGTAGAAATACAGATTTAAAAATGTTTAGTTTGTGCTTCTAGGTAGCAGGAATTTTTTTATGCACTAGGTTCACTGGATCTTTTTTGTAGCAAACACACAGCATTTTATATAAAGCTTATGTGAGGGTGCTTGTGGGAGGGAGAACTTTGGAGCCCTCCTGAGAAAGTTTCTCACCTTTTTGTGATGTATAAGCTCACAGTCTTAGAACAGAACAAAACTTCATATATTTTAAAATCCTTATACTTTTGAAGAAAGTTGTGATATTTTTGCTTATGTTCTTTGAGAACCAGTCCCTTTGAAAGGCTGTGCTCTTGAAAAAGGCAGAGACAGTTTTGATGCTGTTGTGGGGTAAAAAAACATTGGGTACCAATGCCAACATTGTGTCCTACCATGACTATTGAAAAGGAGGTGGACTGATTTATTTTTTTTTTCCCTAGATTGTTTACTTTGTGTATCATAGTGGAAGAGTTCCTCAAGGTTTCCTGGAATTGTTTTGGTTGGAAAAAACCTTTAAGATCATCAAGTCCAGCTGACAGTTTGCTGTATTCACATTTTGCTAGTGTCTGCTCAGTAATATTTTGCAGAGGTTGGTTTCTGCTGGGGCAGTGTTTGGTGCAGCCAAAGCACGTGTGTCACTTTGTGGTTTGTCGTCTTTGTGCAACCAGACATTGTCAGTGCAACACCTGCTGCGAGTGGTAAAGCTGTAGATTTTGATCAAATTCATTAATTGATCTAGGTTTGGCATTCTCCAGGGTGCAGTGCAAATCCTTTTTGGTGCTGGCTTTTATGTCTATCACTGAGTCAAGCAGAACATGTAAAATAACAAGTAGGCAATGTCTGCAGGGACTGATGGTGGGAGAAGCTTTTGCGTGTCTCCTGCTCTGAGCAGTGCCTGGACTGATGTGACCTTCTGAATAGTGGCAGGGCAGTGTTGGCTGCTTCTTGCTGTGGAGCAGAGAGAGGGTGAAGGTTCAATGTAGAGCTGCCCTGGTGTGAAGTTGTCTAGGCAGACAGGAGGAAAATATCAAAATCCCATAATAATTTCAAGCTCCATTAGAAATGATCACTGAAGCCAGTATTTTCCAGCACAAGATAACATCAGAGACAGTATTTATTTGGTAGTGTTGCAAGGCTTGAAGTTTTATAGTTCTCTTTTAACTTCTTTAATTAGAAATGGATAGAACTGTGCCAGCTATTCTCTGCCTGGTGAATTCACACCCCTTCCATATTCTCCCCTGTAGGGCTTGTTCTCAGGGGTGTGGGCAGAGATGTAGCCCGAGTCTTGTGCCAGGAAGTCAGACCTTTCTCTCCTGCCTAAGTGTGGTCCACATGTAGGTCAGGAGGGAAGGAGCTCATCTCCCTTATTTACCATCCTGCTTGGAGGGACAGAGGATGACAGCTTCTGGTAGGGTTAAGCTGCTGTTTACAGCACTGTTTCTCTAAAATTGTTGCAGACTTGTGGAACAGCTTGCTTTGGTTTTCAGCAGGTGGCAATGGCCTTTCTTCAGTGTGTCCGAGGTCTGAAAGTCAGCTTTTCCCACTGCATTAGAAAAATCAGCACGTGTCATTTGATGAAGTTATAGCAGTGACACTTTTCTCTGGTTTTGTATTGGTTTTCTGTATCTAATCCATCTCTGATCTGACAGCACACATTTTCAGAACTCTTTTTCTTTCCAGCAGTCATTCTTTTCATTAACCTTCTTGCACCACTGATCACATATTTATTGTCCCCATAGCCTATAACTGTGAAGGTTTCACTAAAATTAATCTTCGTTTATGTTTGGTCACCATTCAGTGAGTTTTACATGCTTTGAAAACTTCTGTAAAGCTATTTCTGATTGCAAAGTACAGTGGCCTTAATGCTTTAGTATTTATCCTAAGTGACAACTTGGGCCAGAACACAGGGCAGGACACTACATTACTTTGGTAGAGCATTAGTTCACCTTCCGGCATTGTCGGCCTTAATTAAGATGCAACAGGAATTTTCCAGGGGAAAGGTTGTGCTGTTTATGTGACTCTGCTTGAGCAGGATCAGTTAAATCAGGCTGAGAGAGTTGGGTTGGGGTGTTCAGCCTTGAGAAGAGAAGGCTCTGGGGAGACCACAGAGCACCTTCCAGTACATGAAGGGGCTCCAGGAAATCTGGGGAGGGACTTTTCACCGAGAGAGGGCAGTGATAGGACATGGGGTGATGGTTTTAAACTGGAAGAGGGGAG